GAGCATCCAGTGTTGCACCAGCGTCGTGGTCGAGCTATGCGCTAATAAGGGTAGAGTTGGGCTTTTCGGGAGATGCAGCTGGTCGTCGTCGTCTCTCTCTCTCTCTCTCTCTCTCTCTCTCTCCTCTCTCTCTCTCTCTCTCTCTCTCTCTCTCTCTCTCTCTCTCTCTCTCTCTCTCTCTCTCTCTCTCTCCTCTCTCTCTCCTCCTCCCTCCCTCCCTCCCTCCCTCCCTCCTCTCTCTCTCCCCCTCCCTCTCTCTCTCTGACGCCCCTCAGGTCTGCCGAAGCTTTGCGGGGGTACGAGCATGAAGTCAGAGTCGTCCAGGCGGTCAACGGCTCTTCTCCTGCGCTCTTGAGCTACGTCAAGATGTGGAGGCTGGGAGGGAGAGCGTACAGTATCACGTGACATGCTAAGGAAGGGAGGCGAGTCGGCTGACCTGGCACAGGAGGCTTCACCAGCACAGCATCTACAGCGCCTTGAAGGATCTCAAGCCCCTGCACGCCTGCGACTTCTTTCGCTTTCGATCCGTCGCTACGAGCCTTGTGCGGGGATTGTAAGGGCGATGGAGAGACGCTGAGGGGAAGATGATGACGTTGCAGAGCAAGGTTGGAGCAGCTGCATCTCTTTCACTCCGACCTGACCTCCCATAACGTGACGGTTTCCGCTGCTGCGCCTGCCATGTCATCAAGAAGCAGGTCTTGCTCACTGACTCCGGTACCGCTGTGATCGCACGGCTCGACCTCCTCCTCGACGCTCGTACGGCGGTAGAGCTTACGCTTGCCCATCCGCTTCCTGCTCCTCATGACCTGCCGCAGGGTTACGTTGCCGTGGAGGGCGACCGGAGGTTCATTCCCCCGGTGAGCCTCTCCGCACCCCCAACCCCTCCTCCTCCCTGCTCTCCCCCCTCACCCCCTGCCTCCTCCTTCCTGCTCCTTCCCCCCTACCCCCTGCCTCCTGCTCTCCCTCTGCTCCTCCTGCTCTCCCTCACGCTCATCAGGAACACTCTTCGCACTCTCTCTGCTCGCAGTGCGCTGGTGCAACTCGTCACGGGGTTGAGGTTGAGCTTAACGCCGCTGACTCCGCAGGCTCGTCCGGTCCCCTCCAGCACAAGGCCAATGTCTTCTCTGCTGGGCTGTATTCGCCTCTTCTCTTCCTCCCCTCCATCATCCTTCCCTGCTCTCCCTTCCCCCCTTCCTTCTCTCTCCCCTACTCTCCTTTCCTCCCCCCTCCCCTTCTCTCTTCCCTATTCTCCTTTCCTCCCCCCTTCCTTCTCTCTCCCCTTTTCTCCTTTCCTCCCCCCTCCCCTTCTCTCTCCCCTTTTCTCCTTTCCTCCCCCCTCCCCTTCTCGCCTCTGTTGAGACTCCTGACCTCCTATCAGCGTCCTCCTACAACTAGCCACTGGTCTCGAGGAGCTGCCGGCCCAAGGCAGGAGGTGGCTGGCGCTGCGCAGCAACTTTGACCCGTCGAACGAGGCCTGGAGGCCAAGGAGGATGGTATGGCGGAGCCTCCTCTTCGGTACCCCTCCTCGCGCTCTACCTGCCCTGAAACGCGACAGAGCCCTACGTCTCTTTCCCCGAGGCTCATCTGATCCGCCACATGCTCGTCGCTTGCCCCGAGGAGAGGCCGACGGCGAGCGAGCTGCTGGCGCGACATCTGATACTGCAGGACAAGTGAAGGAGAGCAAGAGAATCTACAAGTTTAGAGCAAAACGATGAGAACAAAAACTGGTGAGGATGCAAAAGAATAAAGAGATCATTCGATCTGATAGGCCTCGGGCGGCGCAGGAGCATCATGTTCTCTTGCTTGTTTTCCTGCCAACCATTAGCAGGAGGTCGCAGGAGAATATCCGCTACCGCTCTCTCTCCTCTGCTCGCCAGCATCGTGGTTCCCCATCTCCTCGAGCATGCTTGCTTCGACTGTCACCCGCTCCACACTCGCAAAATCTGCAAGTATCGTTAAGGAGACATGTGGAGGAGGGGAGGAGGGAGAAGGAGACAGGACTGGATCACGTTGGAGGCATGGAGGGAGGGGGAAAGGGGTGAGAGGTGTACCGGCATAGATGGTGATACAGAACCAGGCGAGGGGCGCCATCTCGACGGCGATGAGCTTGAGGATGGTGAGGACCATGAGGCTGCTGTTGCCGATAAGCCCCAGGCCTCCGCTCGCGTACCAGGCGAAGTAGACGTTGAAGGCGCAGTGAGCTATGAGCGAGAAGGAGACGCAGTGGGCGGTCCCGTCGTACATCTGCAGCAACATCAGGAGCAACGAATCTCTGAGCAACGAGAAGAGGATCGAGAGCCAGGAGAGGGAAGGGGGAGGAGAGGGGGAGAGAAGGGAGGAAGGAGAGGAGGGAGAGAAGGGAGGAGGATGCAAGACCTTTGCCTGCTGTAGGCGAAACTTATGATGGATGTCTCTACTCAGCCCTGTCTCTTGGTCCGACAGATTTCCATCCGTGCTGCCGTAGCTGTCGCGGTTCCCTGCCTGGTTGAGGAGGCTCTGAGACGGCAGGGCCTCGTACCCCACCAGGTCGTTGGCCTGTAAGTTCCACACGTAGGAGCCGAACGCGAAGCCGAACCCAACGCCGATGATCGCCTGCTGCCACGTCATCCCTCTCTCCCTCTCGCTCCTCCCTTGTCGCTCTCTTTCTCGTCGCTCCCTCCCGCTCCCCCCCCCAGCCCCCCCGGATGTCGCTATCCTGCCCACCTGCAGCACCACGAGCGCGGAGGTCGCGTCCAGATACTTCCTACAGTAGTCGTTGTGTCTGCTGCTGTCGCAGATGTTTCCATACTGCACCGCCAGAGCCTGCGGGACCCCCACGAAGATGGCGAGGGCTGCGATGGCTGCGAGCCTTGTTAGACCCCGGGACCCCAGCAGCAGCTCAGCAGGACTTACCGCCCGCCAGGCGGAAGTAAACTGTCCTCCATCGCAGGAGCCCCCCGGATCGGGTGATTTCGTGCCAGGTCAAGAGGAAGAGGGACTTTAGCGCGAGGAGGTACCAGAAGGCAATCGCGTTCAGCCAGTCCCCCTGCGACTTGAGCGAATTGATCCTGTCCGGGTCCCCTACATCCTCACCTAGTACAATTGAGAGTGAGGGAATGAAGGAAACGAAAGCAGTCAATTGGA